AGGGAGGAAGGGAGGGAGGGAGGGAGGGAGGCAAGAAATGTGAATTTTAACTGAGTCCTTCCCCGGGATTTTCTATGCACTTTAACATCTACTGAGTAATTACTTGCAATGTACCCGGATCTTGGCTGTGTTTGTGGTCTTTCGGAAGAATGGACATTTCGCCTCTCTAAAGGGTCTCCAACTTTTGGGCTCCTCCTCCTCATCGCAGGGTTACAGGTTCTATGGGTTGTTAGACACTTCTTTCATCGTCTCTCTCCCCTTATGCTTCTTCTCTTCAGCTGAAACAGCCTTTCTCTCAGACTCCGGGGAATGGGAAGAAGGCTGGTCACCACCACCAGTGGGCGGTCCCGCTTGCCTAGCTCTTCCACACCCTATCACCATAGCAACAACCAGGCGTTCTCTAAAAAGCATCCCGGCCTTTCCTTGGTGCGTTCTGACCACTGGATTTTTCCTGTGAGCAGAGAGACACAACTTGACCCAATGTTGTCTTTTCTGGGTGTCCACTCTGCATGTCTCTGAGCCCCTGCCATTGGGGGGCGGGTGGGGTTGGAGCACAGCACTGCTTCCCACCATGTGTACAACAACAGGTCAAGCCAAGTTGATGGGTAAGTCTACAGGGAAGCCTCTAACCCCCTCGGTGACCCAGAATTCACCTTCAGACCCTCATCTCTTGCCAGTGTTCTGGCTAAGTGACATAAAAGTTGTTGACAACTCTGAACAGTGCTTTTCAGACTTGGGTGTGTATCAGAATCTTCAGAGAGCATGGTAACTCACAGATTCCTGGCTCTATCCACAGAAAGCCTGACTCAGTAGGTCTGGGGCCAGGCCTGAGAATCTGTATCTCAAAGAAGCCTCAGGTGATACTGATGATGGCCATGGTGGGCTATAATGAGCAAGACTGCCTAGACAGAATGCTTGTCCCTACCTAGACACAGCACTTGTCCCTGCCTAGACACAGCGCTTGTCCTTGCCCGCTACTGCACAGAAAACACTACATTTTATTTTTCCTCTTTTCTTTTCTTTTTCCCCAGACAGGGTCTCTCTGTGTATCCCTGGCTGTCCTAGAACTTGCTCTATAGACCAGGCTGACCTTGAACTCAGAGATCCTCCTGTCTTTGCTTCCTGAGTGCTGGTCTTAAAAGCATGAGGGACCACCTCCTGGCTAGAGTTTTATTTAAAAAAAAAAAAAAAAAAGAGAAGGAAGAGGAGGAAGAGACCTAGACAGTAAAGTGTTTGCTGTGCATGCATGGAGAACTGATTCTGGATCCTCAACATTCATGTAAAAGATGTGTGGCAGATGCCTATAATCTCAGCTCTGACACTGTATTCTCTCTCTCTCTCTCTCTCTCTCTCTCTCTCTCTCTCTCTCTCTCTGTCTCTCTCCAGATGTGACAGATGTTAAAACATAGGGCAATGGTAGAAATGGCCACTTCCAAACCCAAAGACCCTCGGTCCCCACGATTGAGAGTCAATCTGCCTGCTAGCGAGCGTATATAGAATAGTGGTACATCTGCCACTTGCAAGCCTTCAGCAAGGGACCTGCTCATTGCGGGCCTCAGTTTCTCATCAGCAAGTTGGAACTGGTGTTCCCTTCCTTGAGTCTTTATGAGACCCAATGAGGTGAGGAATCCTGAGTGCTGACTTGGCTGGCACGACCGTCGAGGCTACATGAAAGGAATCGGTCATTGAAGGAAGACCACAGGGCACTCGTCTGTCGTCTTTCTCCTTCACTGCCAACTTGTCCCCATAAGCATCTGCTCTCCTGTGGAATGCCTCCCCTCCGTGGTCAGGAGGAGCCATCGTGTATGGAGAATAATAACACAGAGGTGTGAAAGGTGCTCTGGACACCGACTGGTTCTACGGGCGTGGAGTCAGCTCTCCCTTCGGGGCCTCTCTTCCCACCATCAGTTCCCTTGAAGGCTTCCTATATTATGTTCTCATTACTGGGACCAAATACCAGGCAAGAAGCAGTTTAAGAGAGGAAGGGGTGATGGCACACTGCATCCAAAGGAGCAAGTGGATGCAGCCGAAAGTGGGGCCAGGCTATAACGCTCCAGGCTGCACCTTTTAAAGACTCCACAACCTTTCCATACAGTGCCACCAGTTAGGGATCAAAAGTTCAAACACAGGCTGGGCGGTGGCGGCCGCGGTGGCGGCGGCACATGCTTTTAATCCCAGCACTGGGGAGGCAGAGCCAGGCGGATCTCTGTGAGTTCAAGGCCAGCATGGTCTACAGAGCAAGATCCAGGACAGGCACCAAAACTACACAGAGAAGCCCTGTCTTAAAAAAACAAAAACAAACAAACAAACAAGTTCAAACACATGAGCCTATGGGGGTAGTCACGTTCAAACCACAATATTTCCCCTCTGCCAGGC